TTATTTGTACATTTTTAGCCCTTTGCGTAATACCAGAGGTAAAATGGACTGCTTAAAAATTATGAAAAAAAGCTATTCCATATTGTTATAACCGAATTATAATTAATTTATTCAAAGTATTATTATTTGGTTAATAATAATAATAATAATAATAATAATAATAATAATAATAATAATAATATTCACGAATTAATATACAATGAAAAGAACACGGTCCAGATGAAAAAAATAAGATATTTTGAGCCTCCGTTTTTAAATCTATCCTAAGAAGAAGGTAGAAGCGCATACACATAAAAAAAAGGAAAAATATATAGGCATTTACCCTAAAGTCAGAACTTTTGAAAATCTTATAAGTAACAATAACAATTTTTTTTAATAGATAGAAAAATAGTTACAAATTAGTAACCTTTTTTTTTAATAATTTAAGTTAGTCAAAAATAAATCGACTTCATGGTTAAAAGGAACAAAAAATAATAAAAAGCTTAAATGAGAAACCTTGTCCCACCCTCCCCTATTAGAAAAATAGTGGGCGTCCCCAAGAACTTTACTTGACTTGATTTACTAAAATTAATTCACAAGATGCGTATGACTATAATTTCTTCTTCCAATAATACAATTACAACAACAATTAAATAACAGGTACTAAAAATATTAAATATTACTAAGCAGAAAAACGACAATGCTGCAGAAAGCGCATGATGGCGGTTATCAGAACTGAGTATCGTTATGCCCTCAGTAAAAAGAGCTTACAACCTGTAGAAGAACAGAAAGACCTTGGAATTATGATTACTTCCAACTTGAAATGGGAGACACATATTTCAAAAGTAGTTAAAAAAGGTTAATTCTTCGGTGTTTGTATGAAGAAGGCCTTTCTTAATAGATCATCTCAGACCATAGCAAAACTTTATAAGTCTTTCATTAGTCCAAAATTAGAATATGGTCAGAGAATATGGGATCCCCACTTTATTAAAGACATTGGAAATGCTCGAGCGCGTTCAAAGAAAAATAACAAAACTTCCGGTCCATTTATCTAATGATACCTAGGAGGAAAAACTTGTAAAGCTGAATTTAACAACCTTGAAAGAAAGAAGATTACAACATGACACAAAACTATTAGTCATGTGAACTGAACATCTTTCAAAGTGACACGAATCCATCTTCGAGGTCATTCCAAAAAATTAACCAAAGAAAAGACTGCAAAATTACAGAGAAAAAACTTCCTGTGCAACAGAGGAATTCCTGGAACTCCCTTTCGGAAGACGCAGTGTCCGCAGCAAGTACTAAATCTTTCAAAAACAAATTGGACAGAGAATTTAATGAGAGTAGATATTCATTACAATCAATAACTCTTTTTTCTTCCTTTTTCTCTTTTGTAAAAATCTTTTTCTTTTTTGTGATATCATTGAAAGTGCACTATATACATACATATATTATATGTTTTTTTAGCCAGGATTATTATTTTGATATAATTTGTGTACATAGTACATACATTCATCAGCCTCGTCGATTTAACCGCTTGCTGTTGTAGATAAATAAATAAATAATTAAATTAAATTAAATTAAATTAACGTTATAGTTGTGCGCTCTTATTTCTCAGCCGCATTCATGATTGTACCAGAGCATAACAAAAAAAAACAAAATCATCTTTCGTTAATAATTGTACGTTGGGTTTGTATGATTTTTTACATAAATGCCCGGCAATTCTTTCGTCTATACAAGTCACGATACGTTTCTGCAAAAAAAAAACGGCTACTGAAAACAGAATTATGAAAATGATAGCACCCGTTGACTACCTACTAATTAAGGTTATTTTATCAGTAAATTTTAATAAGACGATCGGAGCGTTTTGTTTCTTTGAAATTGCCGGTGTTCGCAGCGTTGCGAATAACCGGTTTTCGCGTAAAAATACTAAAGTTTGACTCATCTAAGGCATCCATGAAATTGTATTGGTATTTAGGTAAGACCCCCGGCGGGTGAGAAGAGTTGCTTAAATATAAATGATTGCCATTGTAACCACGTATTGAGGGATAGATGTGTTAGATTATAGTGTACCAATATTTAAATTTTCATAATTACATTGTAAATAGTTAAATTGACAAACTTGATTTGATCTAAATTATACTTTTAGTGTCGTCCCTGAAGGTTCTAAATATATGTTTTCTCTTATCAGGGTACGTCACTGTATTGTTCAATGTTTTTTTTAAAGACAAACTGTTTCAGTTTCTTAATTTTTTTCTCTATTTGGCATTTTTACGGAGAAACTTTTATTACCACATTTTTTTTTCAGCATTTTCCTCTTCATTAGGTGGAAATTACTAGCCGCAAACAATGTGAAAATTGTGTGTGTGTGTGTGTGTGTGTGTGTTTGTGTGTGTGTGTGTGTGTGTGCGTGCGTGTGCGTGTGCGTGTGCGTGTGCGTGTGCGTGTGCGTGTGCGCGTGCGCGTGTGTGCGTGTGTGCGTGTGTGCGTGTGTGGGTGTCTAACAAGATAGTGAAGTTACACACCACAGAATCAAGCTCAAATTTGCAAGCTACAACTAAAATATTACATTCCAAGTTGAATGTTTGGAAGAAGCGTTGCGTATTTGTCTGTGAAAAAATAATTTAACATTACATTACATTAATCTCAAATCACTACTTTTGCTACCATATTTACTTTTTGGTGATATTTTCAATAGGCGTACGATGAAATAATACGGATGACTTCCAACTATGATTTTCTCAGCTACAGATTCAATTGTTTTGTTCAAGTTCTTAATATTTACAAATGTGCAACTTGATTTGTTAACAATGACAGCGAAATAACTTTACCAATGTTTATTAATTGTAAACAATTACACTAACAGCAAACATCAACTGCTAAATGCAAATCATTTTATGAAACAAAAGCTTTGTTAACTATCCAAAAACATTTAAAACAAATAACATTTTAATTTGCGCTGAAATAAATTAATAACACAGGTCTGCAAAATTAAACTTTTTGACAAATGTTTTAATATTGAAAACTGATTTTATATAATTTTCCAAAATTCTATACATTTATTTGTATCACATAAGGGTTTTTTTGCATATATTAAAGGAAAAAAACGATATTTCTAAAATATTTTATTTTTTTATTCAATAAAAAAGTAGAATCCTAGTTAAACAAAGTGAAAAAAATGCCTTACTCAGACTTTTTTGAGTAAAATCTTCGTCTTTTTGCCAGCACGCTGCGTTCGGCTGTGTGTTTTTAAAGACACATCCAGCAGTAGTCCTCCATCATGATTATGCTCTTTCCCTGTTCTTCGCTAACTGCTTCAAGATTTTTATTAAAATAGTTCAAGTATGAAAACAGGAAGTGCATTTTCAAACTCATATTATAATCTAGACGATGAAAGTGTTGTAACATATTTTGAACAATATGTTTATACTTTTCATCCAAAAAAATTATATAATTATTTCTTTAAATGAATGTGTTTTGAAAATATTTGTTTTTGCAGAATGTTCTTATGTGGCTCAACAAAAATACCTTCTTTTATCTTGGCATCAGATATGGCTGAAAATTTCTCGCACAAATATTTGAAACACTGTCCATTTTTGTCTAGGGTTTTAAAAAACTGCTTCATCAAGCCAAGTTTGATATGAAGAAGAGGCAGTAAACTTTTTTGCGATTCATTAAGCTATCTCTTAATACATTTTGGCTACCAGGTGCAAGGCTTGTTCTAGAGTGCCATTCCATTTGATTCCAATGTCTATCTTTTGCACGACTATCCCACTCACAAATAAAGCATGGAAATTTTATGTAACCCCCCTGTTGTCCTATGAGCATGCACGGCACTTTAAGGTCACCACAAAGCACCCACTGATGTTCTTGGTAGTTTATTTTCTTCAAGAGAAGGCCTAAATTTTCATACGTTTCTTTTAAATGTACCGAATGTGCACCGGAAGCCACTTCGTTATCAATCTGCAATAAAATGCCTTTTAAATTACACTTACTTGAGTCAATAAACAGGCCCTATTCTTCTTTTATATACGTCACATTTCCTAACTTTGAAACTAAGTCAGGAATATTGTCGCAATACACTTGCGGTCCACCCTGAGCAAAATGCTGTCATAACTCTTTTTCCCGATTCCGTTAGATGATGATGCAGAAATACGCAAAATAAAAAATTACACATCAAATGACACTTCGAAACTCGAGCTTCCAAGTTTTTTGCAAATTTTATGGTGTTTAAGAATTTTTGCTATCAGTCTTTGTAATATCTTTTCACCTTCAGAAAGGCACTTTTTTACCAAAAAATGAACAACAGCAGAAGAAGTACAATGGAGGTTAAGATCTCTCCTATATTGGTGAAACCTTTATTCGTTGTAGTGTTGTCACATAAAAAAGGTGTTTTTTTATAAACCATATTGTTACAAAAAAATATTTGCTATGGATAATGTTTTACGAAATATTGGAACTTCGGTAACGCATGGTGGGTTAAGTTTATAATTTTCCTATGCTTTTGAATAATAAAAATATTATTCGGTGTATAGTCTATTGCAATGTCAGCAATGTCTAGCACTTGCAACATATTTGGTTTCTTTGCCCAGAAATAGACAAGAACTGCAATTTCCTTAATTTAAATGATCCATATTCAATGGAAAAGGCATAAAAGTAAGGGAAACCATAAAATGTTATTATTGTTTAACGTTTACTGCAGAAAATTTTAATTTTGCTTTGTTTTTGTAAAAACTGTTGTTTATGTGTATAATTGTGATCTAACTATTAATGATGATTTATCGGAGACTAATAATATATATCAACAACTGACAAGCGGAAACATTTGAAAATGTGTTGATCTGCAATTTCTTCTTTGTTGTCTTCATTTATTTTATACAAATACGAGATGCAATTTTCGTAAATATTTTGGGAAATTGTTAAAAAATCGATTTGGCAGCCACATCAAAAAAAATATATATATACATATTCGAAAAACACTGTTTTTCCGAATATCGTTTTTAAACCGGACGTTATTTCAGAGACGGACCGCTGCAACTCTGAAGCAAATTGAAAAGTGGTAATCGAGGCAAGCTCGTTGGCGGTCCCTCTGGTGAAGTTAATTGGTAAGCACGAGAGATTTTGGGCAACGGGTTATTTAAGTGCCGTGGATCCGGTAATCATTTTGGCCCCTTTACAATGAATACCTCCTCGGGGCGTACATTATATTACAAACAACTTGTACACCCATGTGCCGCACTTCCTATCAAAACTCATAAATATGTTACTCTTAAAAAACGACAGAGAGCTTCCAATCGAAAATGTTATCATATATTTCCTCTAGGGGCCACTAAGTGAAAACTGTCTAAAGCAGTGTCCCAAAGAAATAACAGTGCAAAGTAAATTTTTTTGATATCTGTGTTCACTTATTATACTGTAATATACTGTCGTTGGTAGGTCCTAGAAGATAATAATAATCATTATCGGATCATCTCTTTTTGAGGTAGTGTATGAAAGAGCACAGGAAGTTTAAATTCACTAATGGACATTTTTTAATGTTTGACTTACTAATAAAAAACTACAACTGGTCTCAACGATAAACAAGGTTGCTTTCGAAATCTCGTGGTTGCGCGAAGCGTCTGCTCCACACTATTCGCCACGCAGTCTACAAAGTCACTACGCAGCTTTGAATTTTAAAATAGTAATAATAATAATATTTTTATTATCCCACATATTTAGAATACAATCAGTGTATTATAGATTTCGTCTAGTAGGTCAATATAGATCATGCAAATGAGGTAGAAAATATATAGAAATATATGACAAAGCACAACAATACAGTGATGACAAACATTAATAGGTAAGATATTCGTTTAAATTATAAAAACTAGGAGCAAAAACTTTAATTTGGATTTCAAAATGTTTACATTACTACTGCCCTTTACCTTTGGGGACAGTATATTGTAGACTCTAATACCGGTGTTGTAAAATATTTTTTTGAAAATTCTAGTATATTTTTTTTTTATGGAGAAACAATCTTTGTTACGTGTATTATAGTCGTGGAATTCTACGTTTTTTTTGTAAGGTATTTTTACTTTTATATACTCATAAATAAACTTCTAATATGTATATACACCCTAAAGGCAGTATTTAAAACTCCCGGAAGAGGGGCCTGCACGAACTATCGGGCGACACTCTAGCAATACACCTTAGGACTTTTTTTTTTTGATGTCGCATGACTTGAATTTCCCCAAAAGGTAATACCATAGAGTAACCTCGATTAGATGCGAGTATAGTAGAAATTTATCATGCACTCTCCAGTTAAAACAGTTTTTAAATTTAAATAACTATGCAGCTTTGAAGAAAGTAGTTGGCATTGAATTGAATTTTTTTTCAAAAATATTTAGCGGTCTTCGATTGAGTTCTGGTTTAACATTTGACATAGGGGTCAAATCTAAAGTAGATAGCTGCAAATTTAAGAGACCTGTTAATTTTGCAATATAGCACGGAATATCTGACAACCGAAAGGCAGACTTCAAGTTATAGGCAAGTATCATTTGCTAAAAAACTTTTTTAGATAACTTGAACGGTTTTCGAGAAATGATTTTTTCTTATACCCTTGCATTTTGCAATTTGAAATTTTAAGTTGATAGCATCAAATGTCGTGTTTCATAGCAATGTTCGAAAAACACTCGAAAATTTGGTTTTAACCGGCTTATGAGTCTCGCGGATTGCTTAAAATAAGCCAAATCTGAAGGCCGTATGGCAAACCGTTCAAAAGTTGTAGCCAATGAATGCCAAACCTACAGAGAAGCAGCGAACGGAGAATGAAACAGAAAAAAAAATGGCGGTCCCGTGGGATCTACCGTTGCCGAGATATAAGTTTCGTTGCTAAGTGCGAAAGAGAGAAAAATTATGCAAATTAAATTCGATTCTTTACGTTAAATACTTTTTGAGCTATCTCTTAAATGAAAGTGGTGGGATGTTCGAATATTTTCGGAAATAAATAGCAATAACTTCAAAGTGATAGATTGATTTAAACAAAGTAGCAGTATTTTCAAAATATCTACCATTACTTTTTTGTTTTTTTTTTTGTTGTTTTTTTTTTAAACGGTCCATCGTAAAAAAATAATAACATGGTTGCCTAGTAGTCAACTTAGCGTCTTAAGCCAGCAAAGCAAAAATGCTGCCCACAAAAATGGAGTTTCTGTGCGAGGAAAATTATAACAATATTCAAAAATAATGGAAATATCCAGACAGGAAAGAGAACCGGCCGTCGTTCTATGAATCTAAGTATGAAGTTTGGGGCTGTATGTCTTCACAAAGAGTTAGACGCATGTTTTTTATTACTGGCACCATGAATGCTACAACATACAAAGTTATCTGCCGTCCATTGAGATGATTAATATTTCAACAGCAACTCCTGGTTTGCTGTGATGAATATACCTGTTTTATAATGGCCTTGAAGGTGCCCGGACTTATCTCCAATTCAAACTTTATTGCACCAAATGAAAAAAGCACGGCGAACTTCTCCAGTCCGCACTATTCCCGAATTAAGGCAAAAATTTCAGGAAAATTGGGATAACTTTCAACCCGAATACTAAAAAATATTAGTGAACACTGTGTAGAAGGGAATCGATGCCGTTAAAAAAAAAATGGGTGGCTGCACTCAATGTAATACTATGGTAGCGTATGGTCCAATTAATATGCTCCAGACCTTATGAAATATACATTTTTTATTGCTGTAATTAAAATAACCTACAAATATTATTGATTTATTGTTAATACTATATAGCATCAGATTACCTTAGTTGTTTATGTTAAAGTTACTTCAAAAAATTAAAAATAAGTTCAGAAATGCAAAATTATGTTATATATTCTTGGTCCAATTGATATGCGGCTGTATAAAAATTCAGTAACAATTAATACTCATGTAATATGATTGCATATTGAAAATCTTGCCATACGAAATTAATGTTACACGGTTGAAGCTATTTATAGTGTTTTTGGTGACCTTATTTGAAAAAAAAAAAGCCTTTTCCACCTGTCGAAGCGATATGTTTTGTGGTCATTCTCAAAGCATTAATAATGCAACTGTTTCTGCTATAATCTATCCAATATTATAGGTTAGGAAAGAGATATAAAAATGGCTATCACTAACGTAATTGGCTGTCTTTTGTTGTAATAAATGTGATATCTTTGAATTTAAATTTTCTGAGCATTGATGATAATTTAAGATAATAAATAAGTTTGAGAAAACGCATTCTGTCACCACTATTCCTTAAGAGATAAAGCAAAAACCATTCACCGAAAAATAATATAATTAATACCCGCTTCAAAACAAGATCATTTCAGCTTTTTCTCTTGGTCGAGTGCCCTTCTTAACTGATCACCCGGTACATACTAATGTACCCAAAAAATATGTGAAAAACTCTGAAATAAAAATGCAATTTAAAAAAAGTTTAGCTCCTTGTGTTGAAAGTTCCAATATCGTGACACAGAATCTGTCGATCGATATTTTCATTTCGCCCTGTATATTACCTTATCAAGACAACTAAAATCCGTTACGCATACCCCAAATTCTTTTTTCTGACTTTATGATAATGTAAATATGGCAATGCCCGAAAATTAATTGCCTCGAGGCATAATATACAGTTCGGGAACTCATTTTCTTGTTGGCCAACGCCAGACTTCACCAGTGTAACAATGTTCCTTTTAATCCTTAGCGGGCCGCGGTTTCAGGCAAGGCCAGCAGAGATAAGCGAATTGGTCACGCGATGGACAAAAACGATCTTTAGATGTTCAAGTAATTAGTCGGTGATTACTGACAATCATACAAGAGAAATTTTCTACCGACGATGGTAAACAGGAGTGGTAGTTTATTTTAATAAAACGCGTCTTATAGGTGAGGTTGAAATTCTCAATAATTACCTACTTTTCCAGTGATATTCTCGTTTCTGCGTGTATGCGATTAATGTTCCAATATTGTCATGCAATGGAATACTACATTTTACAACAAGATTGATAACCGCCACTTTAGTCACGACTTTGATATGCCATGACCGAAGGAACTGTTTAATAAATGAGAATATGAATTGATCTTCATAACTGACAAGTCAGAATACCGTTAGTGGCTGCTAAAATCTTCCGAAAACATCCGATAGCTCACAAACTCGTGACTTCAGTACCGGAACATATAAAGTGGCTCGCGACCGTGACTAACAAAGCGCACGTCTTAAAGTGCCACTTTGCGCATGCTAGATCAGTTCACATTTATGTGCTTTAGAGCAGAATATAGGAACAACACTCAACAAATGAGAAATTTGGTCCTACTTAAAAAGGGAGCTGGATAAAGTCTATTCATAGACATAATAAAGTGACTAACTGTTACGAATTAAGGAAAGCAAGCAAGCAAGCAAGCTGTCAGAATGAAATATGGCCGAACAGGTCCGTACTTTGCTTAGAATTTAATTATTTGGGGTTTTGTTAGGAAAGATACTAAACAATATTTATTTATTTATGTATGTATCTATGTTTAAATCTAAAATGAAATTACAAATTATTTTTATTACCTACTTAAATTACTTCAAATTATTCATATAATATATCAGTATCACTATCGCTATCATCGCCTGTTCTAATTATTATTTATTCTATATTATTTGCAATATGGATATACGATTGTTCTGCTTTTCCTATATGTTTAACGAAATTTGCCCAACTTTGTGGAGGGATGTTAAAAACTTTCGGTTTGTATTAGTTTGAGAACATCGGAGTTAACACGGGGAATAACATTGTTACGATGAATGCCAGATTTCAGTTGGTGCCAAACATGTTTAATGGGAATAAATATACAGTGGTAAGGTGGAAGCCTTAAAACTGTATGCCCTAGATTTTTTGCATAATTATCACAGACGTATTCCTTTTGTAGGTTCAAGCTTTGTAGAACCTCAATTAATTGCTTTTAAGTATAATCTTCGTGAAAATAAATGTCGTTATTAAACAGGTAGTTTTGGATGGTTGCTTTTGTATCACACGAGGAAGGGGTTTTAGTCAACTGTCTTCTGTGATAACTTGCATTGTCCATTACAATTAGGCTATTAGGGGAATGTTTGGAACTAGTTTG